AGGGGGTCCGTCCCCTTGATTCCGCCATGATGGAGCAGATCACCAGAGGGATAATGAGCACTGTAACCCCAGAGAGGCTGGACTGGGCACACAGACACCCCCCACCCCCCACCCCAGTGCCTAACTTGGCCATTCCTTCTCTCTCTTTCCCTCCCCTTTTCTAATGGACCAGGATGAGGATCCACTATAAAGGAGACTTCGTGCTAAAGGAATTCCACTAGGAGGGAAATCCAACTAGGACAGAAATACAGACACTACCTTTAAGGATGGGAGAGGCCATGGCAGCCCAGCCAGACTGTGCCTAGTGTGCGGAGACCCCTTGAACTGAACCCCAGTACTGCATAAAACTGGGCACGGTGGCACATCTGTAATTCAACAGGCAGGAGATCGGAAGTTCAAGGGCATCCTTGGCTACACAGCAAGGTCAAGGTCAGTAGAGGCTCCATGAGACTCTGGGAGAGAGAGAGACTGATTCTACAGGTTGGTGGTTCTCGGAAGCTGAGCAGAGGGAGCCACACACAGGAGAGCGAAGGCCCGGCGTGGAGAAACACAAGTGTGTCTCAGGAGATGGAAACATGGCTAACATGGAGGCCTCCAGCAGCTGAGACACGTTTATTGCTGAAGATGATTATAAAGCTAGAAAGGTGTATCGGGCCGGTGGTGGCGCACACCTTTGATCCCAGCACTCCGGAGGCAGAGGCAGGTGGATCTCTGAATTCAAGGCCAGCCTGGTCTACAGAGCTAGTTTGGGGTGGGGGTGGGGGAGTGGAAGAGGGGAAACTGTAATCAGTATGTAAAATAAATTTTTAAAATTTTAATTAAAAAAAGAAAGAGCAAGTTCCAGGACAGCCAGAGCTGCCAGAGCTACACAGAGAAACACCATCTTGGAACCAAAAAAGAAAAGAAAAAGAAAGAGTGAAGGGAAAAAGAAGTGTGCCTGGATCACGCCGCACCGTGGGGGGGGGGGGGTGATGTGAAGATTACCCGTGCCCTCCCCACCCCCCCTCCCCACCCCCCTGCCAAAGCCACCACTGATAGAAGCGAGGACCAGGTCTGAATTACAGGCTGCAGAGTGCCGGGGAATCCTGTCCTCAGTACAGCAGAAAGTGAGGATTCAGCTTCCATGGAGATGCAAAAGCCTGACCTGAGGACCAGGACAGGAGAGAGGAGCAAGCAGAAATCCCTGACCAAAGAGATGGTTTGAAGGAGCCTCCACGCGCAGCGTCCCTGCGACCCACCTCAAAAGGAGAGAACCGATTGCCGTCAGTTGTCTCTGACCTCCACAAGCGCACTGTGACGTGTGTGTGCATGTGTGCGCGCACGCGCACACACACACACACACACACACACACACACACAAACATAATAAATAAGTTAACAACAGAAAAGAATCCCAGTTTTGGCCAGGTGTGGTCCTACTATCCTCTAGTCTCATCATTCAGGAGGCTGAGGCAGGAGAATCATGAGAGCTAAGGCCAGGAAGGACTGCACAACGAGTCTAGGGCCAGCCTGAGAGCGTACAAGACCCTGTCTCAAAAAACAGGGCGTGGGGGAATTCTAGGTTCCAAACCTTAAGCCTTCTCTTCACCCACCGTATTTATCACACCAGGGATCTCAAGGTTTGGAAAGTAACTCAGACATTTACAGCATAATTACCTAAACTTCAAAATCTGCGCAGTCTAGGTCCCCAGCCCCAACCTTATTAACATCGAAGTCTCCCTACAACTTCAGTTAATGACACAGTTAAACAAGATGGAAAAATGTACTGTGATCTATTAAAAAAAAAAAATCCTTGCCCCCTGAAAACACACATCTGGGGCGGGTAGAGCCCCTGGATTCCACCAGAACAGCAGGCGCCTCACTGAAACTGTTTACGGCACATGGGCAGATTCCACACCAAGGCACATTTGGTGGAACTGATTTAAGGCCCTCATTAAAATGTTTCTTTGCAGAGCACAAGATACCCCCAACTCCCTCCTGTCCCAACTTCCTCTCTCACACACCCTCCCCCGGGGCACCCATCACTGAAGTTCACATCTCGAACATCAGAGTGCTCACAGAAGAAACTCAGCAATTATACTGCAAGGGCCCCATCTCCACCAGAATTTCCCTTTGACTTCAGAAAGACAAACCACAGCAGCAGAGACAGCCACATCCAGCAGAGCCACACACCAAAGCCTACCAGGCAGCCCAGGAGGCCTGTGAGCTGGCTGCTTACCCATATGGCTGGGCCCTCATCCTAGCTGTGTTAAAAAAAAAAAAAAAAAAAAAAAACTTCCATACTTCCTCCAGGAGCAGATGTGGGACTTTGCCATGAGCAATAACTACCACACACATAAGGAACACGCGGTAACTCCAGAAACACCAGCTAGGAATTCCCAGGACGAGTTCTTTCTGGACTCTGCTTACCTCTTTTTGTATAAGTGGAGTGGGAGAGACTTTGATTCTCTGGCCCCTAAACCCCCAACAGCTGGTCAGGAAAATGACAGCAGACAATTCCCTGCCCCTGCCCTCCCGGCTGGCACTCTTTAAAGGAATGGCTAAGGGATCACCTAAGGCTGTCCCCTGGGCAGAATGTCTCCCCAAAGAGGGCTGTTTTGCAGACCATCAGAGGCGGTTTTGTCTCCTAAGGTGAAGGAGCCGTCCTTCGGTCCTTGCTGATTGGGACCAGCAAAACGGGTATTTGAGTAGCTCGGCGATTTCCGGTTAAATCCCTTCCAACACCTTTAATGGTGACTGACTTTCAGGTGTGATCAGTCAGGAAATAAAATCTGGCGACGGGGGTGCCCCTTGTTTGCCCTGGAGATGTGGGCCACACCCTCATCAAAGTACAGAGGCCCTCCACGAAAAGCCAGAGTTGGGCTTCTTCTTCTTTTTTCCTTTGCCTTTTTGCCCTTAGGAGGACAGATATTTCTTTGCTCCCTGAGCACGGACAGGATGGAAATCCAGGAAACAGCAGAGCAAAGCCCGTCCGCACCTTGGCAAGCGGGCCAAGCCCGATTTTGGCAGCGGCCTTCACTCATTAGTCACCACTACAGTCTGGGACCCTCGGCTCCCGGGATACGACCCTGGCACCGAGTGGGCTCAAGGCTCGGGCCTAGTTGGAGGAGGAGACGAGGCACCCCTCAGTCTAACCTGCCCTCACCGGCAGGGCCATCTGGGGTTCCAGCTTTGCCCCGGAACTTTCAGGGAGGGAGCCGGGCGCGTCGGGCCGTCATAGGTAACAAAGCTCCGCGCCAGGCGCGCCCTAGGTCGGGTCGGTCGGGATCAGGACCCAGGCCGGTCCCCCTCACCTGGGCTCCAAGGCCCGGGACACTCCCAGGGTGTCGGCACCCTCTCACGGGAGGGGAAGGCACTGTTCCCCAAAGAGGAGCTCCGCAGCAGGGCTCGGGAGCCGGCGACTCCGGGCAACGCTCGAGCAAACTCTCGGGTCCGGCGGGCGGGCGGGCGGGCGGGGAGAACTCGCGCCCCAGCGCACCGCGCGCGGGGGCGTCGCCAACCCCGGGTCCCCGAACTCCCAGCGAGCCTCTCCACCGCCCCAATCGCCCAGCCCACCTCTCCAGGGCCCTTCCTGCCCCCGGGACTACCGCGCTTCTCATAAGCCTAGCTCGGTACCCCCGGTTCTCGGGGGGGACTCACCGGCCAGGAGCGGCAACAGCAGAGTGCTGAGCAGAGGCAGCGGGCGGGCTCCCATCGTGGCGGGCTGCAGGGGAGCGGCGAGGCTCAAGGCGCACGGACGAGCGGGCGCGCCGACCGGAGCGCGGGGGGCCGCTGCAGCAGCCGCAGCCCGAGCCCGAGGCGTCCGGAGCTGGAGCCGCGCGCGCCCCGTACCTCCAAGCCCTCGCGCGCCACCGCCGCCGCCAAACCACGCCCCCGACGCCCCCTCCCCTCCGCCCGCACGGCGCCCCGCCCCCTGACGCCCCCCTCCTCGCCGTCGAGGGGAGGAGCTGGCCGTTGAGGGACGGCTCTGGAGAAGGATGGGGGGACAGTGGCGGTCCCGGGGGAGCGCCAGAGCCCGGGACGTTGTGCCCACCGCCTGGTTTGTCCACGGGGACGCAGGAGAACCAAAGTGACTCTCGGGATTCTGTGGCCCCTTAAGAACGATGGTCACTCTGGACCTACCTAGAGGTCTGGACCAATAGTTTGCCCAGTATTCTCCAAGTTGGTGGAGATAAAAAGTGTCGGGAGACAGACCAATAAGGTGTCGCAAGCGTCCACGCATAAGACATCGGAGGGCATAACGTGGTGCCCTGCTGAACAGAGGTAGCTGGGGAGGGGGAGGGGCGTGACCGCAGTCAGCTTTGGCACGGGACGGATCTGAACCCAAGGTAGAAACCCTGGGCTCTGAAAGCCGGCGCAAGAAAGCTATTAAACAGACGTTCATCCCAAGTCCATCTCCAGGCAGTCTGGGCTGTGTCAGGGCATGGCCAAATCTCCAGCTGTGGGGAGGCCCGGCGCAGCCCTTGTTCCACGCACCCTCCACCCCCAGCGCCACCACCCCCACATTCTTTCTTTGTTGTGAAAGCAGCAAGGGGTGTGGGAGGCGGGTCAGGAGAAGTCAGGCTCTCAAGGATGGGGCCCAGCTGCTGACAGGCCTCCAGGATATGCAAGAGGGGATGGGTAGTGCCTTGTCCCCCTTCTGGCTCTGGAGGGCCCCCCAGGCCTGCTTAGACCTCCCTTCCCCCAAGCAGCTGGGAGGAGGGAAGGAAGCCATGGAGCCCTCACAGGCAGGAGAAGTGGCGCCAGGACGCCAGGGTCCTGCCACATGGCCACCACATGTCCCTGACAGCCCAGTCCACAGCACCTTCTCCTTGTAGGCCTCCTTCCCCATCCCCCAGATGCCTTCCTCCAGACCCTGCTCAAGAGGGCACGCACCGGGAGAAACCGGGAAAAAGCCAAGGATCCAACAGTCCCACTGCCCCATCTACCACCGCCCTCACCCTCCCTCCCTCCGTCAAGAGCCTAACACACCCCATACTTCAATCAAGACTCAAGCCGCAAAAGGTTACCTGATTCTTTTATTAAAGAAACATCGTGAAATACATGGACCTGAAGTGAGGCAGAGGGCAGGGATGCAAGAGGCTAGCCCCAAACCCTCTGACAGAAAAACCAGCAGCAGGCACATGCCGGAGATGCAACCTGCTTTTCAGAAGCCCACCTTGGGGGCCTCGGTGAGCTACTCTAGAGGACTCCAAAGCAGAGAGGATATCCTGAGGGCCCTTCCAAAGGGGTGGGCGTTCGTGAGGAAGGAGCCTAGACCCCAGAGGCTGCACTCTTCCTTTAAACTGTCCTCCTTCACCTTCCCATTTGGGTTGGGAAGGACAGGAGCATCGAGGAATGCTGGGAGGCTGTGGGGCCCCAGCAGACGGGGGTGTGGGGGCTGGCGTCTGAATGTCAGCTGCTTGAAGAGAGGTCCATCGTGCTGGCACTGAGGCCCCGGGAAACCTGAAACAGACCCCACCAGCCAGCCCATGAGCCCTGGGGGCCCCAGAGTCTCTCTGGACCTGGGATGGAACCTCCAACCTCCACCCAAACTCTAGGACTTCGCTTAGGCACAGTCTGCTGGAGGACACCAGGCGGAAACCCAGGGATACTGGCTTGTACGGGTTATGAGCCGACACAAGAGGGCACCACACTGAACTATCACTGCTCTTTCCTCAGAGACTCAATTCCTTTTGTGTTGCTCCTTTTTCATTCCTTACTAAGACCTCAAGGGACCTGCAGCTCTAAATCATTCTGGGATTATTCCTAATTCCAAAGTAGCAGTTTGGAGGGCATCAGTGGCTGGCACTCTCCTGATGAACCTGTACTTACTGTCTGGGCTGAGACTCACTCACTTGCTCAATCTCTCTCTCTGGTTTTTGATTTTTTCTTTTTTTTTTTTTTTTGAGACAGGGTTTCTCTGTATAGCCCTGGCCAACCTGGAACTCACTCTGTAGACCAGGCTGGCCTGCCTCTGCCTCCCGAGTGCTGGGATTAAAGGCGTGTCCATCAGTGCCCAGCATCGGAAACTGTCCCTTGATGCCTAGCCATCCAATACCACGCCATCAGCTGGACTCCCCCCGAAGGGCTCCAGGCTCCCAGGCCACCTTCATCCTGGGGACACTTCCACCCTCCCCGATGCCCCTGGAGCTGCCTTCTGGGAGTCCTTCCTTCCTCACCTGGAGTGGGGCCGCACTGGGTTGGTTCAGGTAGTTCAGCGAGGCTGCCCGCTTCATGTTGCTGCTAAAGGGGGAAAGAGATCACTGAGGCCAGTCCACTGTCCCTCGTGTAGGACACTTCTAGGCCATTTCTCCAGCACCAAGAGAAGCTGCAGGCAAGGGCCTGCTGGCCTGCTCTGTCCTACCTCAACCGTGTCATGTACCTGGAAGGCCGAGGCTCAGTGCCCTGGAGCTTCCTCACCAGGAGCTCACTGCTTCTACGGAGTACATCCCGGATCTTGCCCAGAGAGCCGCTCCTCTGCAGGGCACCACTGCCGTCCTATCAGAAAGAGATGGGCAGTGGGGGAAAAGGGGTTCCGTGTGGCCTGGCTTCCACGTCTACCCCTGCCATTTACTCTGCACACGTCCCCTGTCCCTGAAGCCCAGCGGCTGAGAACAAGAGCCCTGTCCGTCCATCCGTCCGTCCGTCCATCCATCCGTCCGTCCGAAGCAGACTCCAGGGACAGACCTAACCGGTGGGGACAGCAGGACCAATACCGTGTACAAACTTGGAGAAAGACAGCCTCAGAGCTCCTCGGTGCCCACAAGAAGGGACAGGGCAGGGCAGCGGCACTGGGCAGACTCACCCCTGACCACTCCACAGCCACTGACGCGTCTTCACCTCCCTCGAATTTCACGCTGTCCCCAGGGCCCTCCTGAGTGGTCCTTCTCCCGTCACCTTCCCCGAGCAGCTCCGCCACCTTGGTCTGACTGATGGGGTCAGTGCCCTGGGAGGAAGGGGAGGAGATGCTAGGAAGATGGCTGAGCCGGAAAAGCACCAGCTGCTCTTCCAGAGGACACAGATCGGGTTCCCAGCTCCACAGGGTAGCTCACCATGCCAGTAACTGCAGAGCCAGGGATCCAGCGCCCTCTCCTGGCCTCTCTGAGCACTGTGTGCATGTGCAGATGCACATGCAGGCAAAAGACCCCCACACATAAAATAATAAAATCTTTAAAAGACAAAAAAGTAGACGGAAGGCGCTAAGACTTCATAGTCCTTAAATCTCAGGATGGGGCTTTCGGTCTTTCCCCCTCCTTACGATGCCCCCTTACACAAACACTGGGCAGTATCTGCTCTGTGTGGCGGTAGTGTGGCCTTACACAGACTTACGTGTAGCTATGTCCCAGAGTGAATGGGCAACTTACTAAGTCAGCTGAGACCCGTAACTGGAGGAATGCTGACTTGGGTCTCTCCTCGACCTCACCTGCTTCATGCATGCCACCCGGTCACGGGGAAGAGCTGCATTTCTACAGCTCTGCCCTGTGGAGTGGATCCATGCTGTGTTGTGTTCTTTTCTATCATCTGTGCATATTCGCACACGCTGTTGGAGAGAGCAGTGACTGCCCTCCCTGGCTGCTCCTCACTCATTCTCTCTGAGACAGGCTCTCACTGTACTTAGAGCTTGCCAACTGGCTGGACTGGATGGCCAGCAAACCCCAGGGGGCCTCTTGTCTCTGCCTCCCCAGCTTAGGTCCTCCTGGTCATCTCCCCCAACTCCCCCCCACACACACACACACTCGACTTTACGACTGTTGTGTGTGATGGGAAGAGGCACACACTGCCACAGCAGGAGGTTGGAGGGCACTCAGGAGGGATTCCTCTCCTTCCACTTGTCCATGGGTTCCAGAAACTTAACTCAGCTCACAGGACTGTGCGGCAAGCGCCTTTATCCACTGGGCCAACTTACCAGCCCTGGGGTGTTGGTTTGTTTGTTTGTTGGTTGGTTGGTTGGTTGGTTTGTTTTTTGAGACAGGGTTTCTCTTGTAGCCCTGGCTGCCCTGGAACTCACTCTGTAGACCAGGCTGGCCTCGAACTCAGAGATCCGCCTGGCTCTGCCTCCCGAGTGCTGGGATTAAAGGCATGCTGTAGCTGAAGCTAGCCTATAATTCATCATGTAGCCCAGGCTAGCCTCAAACTCACAGTAATAATTCCGCCTCAGCCTCCTGAATACTGGAATTACAAGCACAAGCCACTACAGCAGCTGTGAAGGGAATCTTGACTCTGTACCATGACACAAAGGCAAGTATGGAGTAAGAACGTTCTTAAAGACCACCACAGCCACAGGACTGCCCCACCCTCTCAGCAGTGCACAAAAAGCCTCCAGGCCCGCCCTTCTTGGCCCTCCCACTCTGGACTTTTATTTTGGTTTGAGACAGGGTCTC